ACACAGGTAATCTTTTTTTTAATCTCTATTCGAATGTAATTCCCCATAAAAATATTTTCGCCTTCGTCCTACTGTTTTCGACATGTTTGTAAAAATCGAGCAGCGAATCACTTTGGATCTTCAATTGTTCTCTTTGTTAGAGTTCCTGAATTGTCATATATTTACAAATATTATCTTGCTGTTGTTGTTCATTAGTAATTTGTCATGTACTAGACCTAGCAAAAATACAACATACTACATTTGTAAATGTTGTAACACTAGTCTCAAATGCAAAATCATATCTATAGCCGAAAATTCATTCTAAATACACGTTGGTCAATACTACGAAGAATGTACAATGGAGATATGTGCTAGAAAATTTTCTAATAAATGCATGAATAACTGACAAAAGGACGTGCAATATACATGAAACTAATACAAGTAGATTCAAAGAATGATATTCTTTAACAAAACGAAAAGGTTAATCCACGAACACTTTAAAATAATTAATAAGATGCCGAATTTAGTTTCCAAATTTTAAACCATGAATGGGTTAGAAGAAGACGTTTTTTTTTCGATGGTAATCGTGATTTTTCTGGCAAACCAAGCATTTGATAATAATTTCGTGGTTTAATTCATATAAAGTAGACATTTGTTTCGAGATAAAAATGACTTCATTCAATTTTCTCCTTGTTATTGCTACTCATACTTATAAAAATAAGCACAAACGAAATGATACAACAAGAAAAAGAAGCATTCTTAAAACACATCCTTACTTTTCAGATAATCGAAATAATGCCTAAAATTTTAGAACCTCTTATCTCTTCAATGATCACGTATTGGAAGTGTTATAGTAATGGTTCATATCTGTCTTAGCTATTAAATTTAAGTCGGCTAGATATTGTGAAACATTAAAAATTAAAATTATTCAACATTGATAGTACAAATTATAACAAAAGCAACAACTTTACTTGATGAATATTCAGTTAAATCTGCTAGTGAGCATGCAAAATTACTTGAAACAACCGCCAAACAGCTTGCAGAATCCAAAGAAGAATAGAAAAAGGAAATCAAGAAGATTTCACTTTTTAAAATTTTCTATCTCACCATTAGTTCGAATAAGAAAGGACAATTTCAAACATTTAGTATGAAATAAAACGTTCGTAGTTCTCATCTAAAGATATTACGAAAAATATTTAGAGATGAAGAAAACAAATTTCATTATTTCCGAATCGATTGCTAGAAGGTTCTGAGACAATGTAAACATTCAACTCGGTACATACATTTTTATCAGCAATCATTTCATTTTTTACAAAAGCCAATAGATGACATACATATAACTGATATTTTCATAGACGTATATTGCCTTAATTGACAATGAAAGACAAGGAGACATCACATGGTGCAAGTTTCATTCATGTTGGATTCTATTCTAATTAAGTCATGAATCAGAGATCATATGAATCACTAAAATTCGTTAGATATATATTAGAAACCTGTAGAGGTACATATCACAGGAGTGAAGATCTAGCTGAACCTGAATCCGAACGTTGATGTGTTAGTTTATCCTTAACATATTTGATCTCTTTAAACTTTATGTTGGCTATGAAAAGTCTCTAATGAGTTACAATCCTTTTGAGTTATCATCGTTTTGTATATGTTTCTTCAATGGAACCAACTGAATTTTACAACATACGTCCTAAATGTGCAAATCCATTATACATAAGATTTTGAGCTTGGCATCCTCTTAAGTCATAGAAACAGAATGAGTGTAAAAATTGATATCAATATTTATATTTGTTATGAGTATTTTTGCGGAGTCTCAATTGCGAGTAGAAAAACGATATCCGATTTCGATTGGAATTTTATAGTTTGTACAGTTTTTAATTCCGAGAACCAAAAAAATTTTAAATTTTGATTTTTAAGGCAATATACTTATAGTACTTAAAGCACGAAGAATAAGAAACTTCAAACAACTTGTATTTTTAGAAATTCCTCAGATCGTGTTTGTTACTTGTTCACGCTAAAATGAGATGAAGCATAAAACTCAACGTGACATTCACATTTTATGTAAAAAGACCTATCGGATCGTAATAAACTTAAACTCAGAAAAAGAATTGAGTTCCATTTATTTCATCACTGGCTATCAATCACAAAACCTCAATAGAAAGCTTACCACGTAATCATCGGATAAAATCTTTTGATCGATAACTCATTTCTTTCTGAAGAAAAGTCGATTTAAACCGTAATCGATTTCCAAGTATTAGTTCATTTGTTGTTGATTGTAGGTTAGAGTGTCATTTAGTGACCAAGAGGATATAGGTTCGTAGATGCTCTTCTCACTTGTATTTCCACTTTTCTACGATTTTTTAAATTGTTCGTATTTCTGTAAGAGTAAATCGAAAGCTCAAAATCTACTCAATAGTATATCTGGATATCTAATTGTTTATGTACCGTCAATATCATGGTATTTCACTATAGAAGCGTATGAAAAAATGTGATTACTGGAAAGGATAAAAACTTCTTAGAAACTGTTATCCATGAATATGATCCTATTATCCCTTTGGTTCACCTAGTACGCACACATCTCAAGACGTCCATGTAACGTTTCTATCATGCGTTGGTTTACTGAGGTTGAGTTATTTCATTTCATTTCTTTTTTTTCTTAAACTTCTGATTCTCTATTCATTATCACGGTTTGTTATCATAGCATTCCGCTTCTTACTATGTTTCTTTTTATGAATTTCGTGAATAATTTCATTGTTTGTTATTTTCTTTTTTTTTTCCACTGAAAATGTTCTCAATTAAAATACTGTTTCGTGCTTCATATAGATACTATTGTTTTGACTTATTGAACTTTCTTTTTATTTTCTTATTAATTTGTCAGTTTAATCTCTGACTGATCAATACTAATTTTATGAAACTGCCCACATGCTCTGTAGAACTATCTAGGAACATTTAGCCTATGTGTCCGGTCTGTTTTATTGATACAGTGTCCACCAAGTGAGAGTCCAGCAAACCTCGCAGCAACCTCGTATGGTATTGAGTGTTGATCAAATTTTGACACTTGATATCATTGTCTTAAACGAAGAGTTGTCATAGTAAGTCTCTGAATCTTAACTAACTTATATGAGTTTAATTTATAGTGAGTGCCGGAAGACTAAAACGTTAGTCAACTCTGTATGTATGTTTTCAGTATAAGTATCGGATACTAGGACTTAGAAAACTTTAATTGAAAACTCCAGAAAGAATGTTTTTTTGGATTTCTTTAATATTAAACTACTCAAAATATAAGTGTATAATTGATTATTGTGTATCACTTTTATTTTTAATTTATGCTATGGTGCAAATAGCCCCTAAAAATTTTCGAGCAGAAGCACTTCCTCATGAAATTCTACGAAATCGGAAATTTACAAGTATGAAAAATGGCAGTATCGTACATTAATATTAAATCAAAAAGGGGATTAACGGCTGCTGTTAGCTGTTTTGTGTGCAAACAAACAATAATCTTTGCGATTTTTAGACTAGTTATTATGGTATTAGCTTAGATTTTCTATTAGTTGACATTGTGTTGGATGTGAGACTCGTCAATATAAACTTTACCATCAACACTCACATTCTAAGCAATTTAACAGCCTCCAAAATTCAAATTCAAACCGAGCGCTAATTCGAACTTGGGTAACAAAATATAGTAAATCTCGCCATATATTCTTTTTAATTAATATGTTTTAAGGTGAGAACATAATCGATGTGTTTACTGTTCACAGTAAAGTTATTTTCTATAGAAAAAAAAGCGATTATAGTAAGTGAGTGTGGGTGTTGATACACAGGATACAGATCCACACCCACACTCACACCCACATCCACACACCCATACCCACATCCACATCCACGCACCCACATCCACACACCTACACCCGCACCCTCTATTAGTTCGACATCAAACCTACATCCACCCTAATCACATTTTGCTCAAAACTAAACATGCTAGTTTTGTAGAAGAAAAGACGAAAATTCTTGCAGATGGGCATATTTACAGAATTGTAATGTTTTCAGCTGACTCCGTACAACATCCAAACACGTTTGTTTCATATTCGAATAAAGTCGATTCAACGGCTTATCTCTTGATGCAATTACTATCAATATTCAATAGTGACATGTATTGCTAGCAACTGAATAAAACAATAGTCCATCTCTTGACTCATTGAATTCCATTCATTACAACATAGTATTTCAGTACGTTTTTTTTTCGAATAAACCAAACTGTAGTTTGCTTATTTGTATTACAATTCACAAAAACAATAATGTGTGACAGTAGAAGGAAGATGATTATTTGTCGTCAATGTGAAGTGACTAGAATTGAGACTATAGAACGAGCTTCGATAAATAAAAATAAAAATAAAAAACAAACTGCTAAACACCATGAAAGGAGGTTCGTTCATGTTGAAATGTTCTTAGTCATATTACTGATAAAATTTGAATAAGATTCACTGCAACTTTCTGAGAGTGATCCAAAGCTAGACATTATAAGTGCAAGCTGGTTGATTTTTCACTCGACTGGATAAGAAAAATGAAAGGCTCACTTTTTCAAGAATTTTCTTTTCACTATAATAGCATCAATAATACTATGATTGTCTAGAAAAATTCAATTACGATGAACAAATATTTTTTTAAAAAAGAATTTTGATCCATCAAGTATACACTTTTCCCTTAGTTCATTGTTTCCTGTACTATTTGGTTATATTTCCTATTCTGATATTTTCAATGGTATCTTTCTGAATTTGACAAAGTCCTCTGTCAATACGCATAATAAAGCTTCAGTTTTCGTTCTCATAATATTTTTCGATCGACGTAATGCTTAAAAGCAATAACAAGATCAGAGAAATAAATATTCGTAACTAGACATACGTTTATTATAAGATATTTCTTCAAAAGAAAGAAATAAAAACTTAGTTGAATAGTCGAAAATAAAGTATGAGAAAAATAATTGTATATGATTCAAATGAAGTTCGACCAATTGTTTATAGGCACATATTACGAAAGATAGTCAGTTCGTTGGTACCTTTATTTGTTATTGCAAGATCTATTTTTCTGCCGTTGTTTGAAGGAACCATTGTTATAGAAGTAGGCCCACAACCCGCTCCTAACGTTGTCTGGGATGAGAACATTTTGTTTGTATTCAGCAGTATATTAATACTGTTTGATGCATAGCATAATACTGCCAGATCCATCTTGCTATCATTGTTAAAATCACCCGATACAACTGATATTGGTTTCTTACCAACGATGTAATGCAGTTCAATCAGAAATGGTCCACTGTCATTACTTTGAAATATGATTATAGTATTCGAACCGAAATTTGTTACTACTAGATCTTTTCTTCCATCTTGATTTAAATCAACAGATATAACATAGCTCGGCTTCTTTCCAGTTTCATGACTAATAGGACTTCGAAAGGTCCCGTCTCCATTGCCAAACATCATCATGACCGTACTGTCGTTAAAATTCGTCACAGCTAGATCTAGCTCTTTATCATTATTAAGGTCATCTGATGTTATACAGCTTGGTGCATTACCAGTATTATACATATTTGTAGCTTGAAATGATCCGTGACCATTACCAAGAAATATGCTCATGTTATTATCGAGATTATTCACTACAACTAAATCTAAATTTTTGTCGTTGTTAAAGTCACCCGATGTAATTGATATTGGTGATTTGCCAGTGGTATATGTCACTTGAGACTGAAAGAATCCATTTCTATCGGCTATGAAAACACCGATATTATTATCGTCGGAGTTGACAACTACCAAATCTAGTCGTTTATCATTATTAAAATCACCTGATATTATAACTCGAGGATTGTGCCCAACGGGATACACTATTCCAGCCTGAAAAATTCCATTTCTTGTACCTAATATCAAATTAATACAATTTTCGTCGGTATTCACTACTATCAAATCCAGATTTGTATCATCATTGAAATGATTCGATAGAATTGCATGTGGTGTCGAACCAGTCGAATATCTTATTTGAGTTTGAAACGTTCCGTTCCCATTCCCAAATAAAATACTAATTGTATTTTCATTAGAATTAGTCACTGCTAAATCCAACTTTGTATCATTGTTGAAATCACCCGATGTCAAGGCAAATGGAAAATCACCAGTACTATATGTGAATCCCTCATTAAAGGTTCCATTGTCATAGCCAAGTAGTATACTAACATTGTTATCCATTTGATTAATAATAACCAAATCTAGATTGTTATCATTGTTGAAATAACCAGATATGATAGAGTTTGGACGTCCTCCGATCTTATAGGTAACTTGAGTCTGGAATGTTCCGTTCCCGTTTCCCAGCAGCACACTAATATTATTATCGTGTTTATTAGTTACTGCAAGATCTTGTTTTTGATCGTGATTGAAATCACCCAATGTGATCCAACATGGATATCTACCCGTATTAAATTTTAATGGAGCCTGAAAATACACAGTACCATAACCAAGCAATATATTGGTAGTGTTCTCGGCAATATTTGCCACTGCTAAATCGATATTCGTATCATTATTGAAATCACCTGATATTATAAAAACTGGCACTCCTCCGGCCGAATATGAAATTGGTTTGCTAAATGTTCCATTGTCACAACCGAAGAGAACACTAATAGTGCTATCACTAAAAATAGCCACGGCTATATCCAGATAACCATCCTTATTAAAGTCGCTTGATGTAATAGAGATTGGTTTGTCTTTTGTTTCATATTTTGTTTGAGTTGTAAAGCCTCCTTTGTGATCACCAAGTAGTACACTAACTGTGTCTTCATCGAAATTTGCCACTGCCAAGTCCAATAAGTTATCATGATTGAAATCACCGGATGTTATGGAGATTGGATCGACACCGGTCCTATACGTCGTTGCAATTGGAAAGGTACCTTTATCAGTGCCAAACAACACATGCATAGTATTGTCTCCTTGATTGACTTCAGCTAGATCTTGTATTCCATCATTGTTGAAATCGCCGAATATTGCAGACATTGGAATATCGCCAATATCATAGCTCATTGGAGATATGTAAGGATGCGTGCAGATATATTTTGGAGCTAAGTGCAAATGAAAAAATTCATAGGCTAAATTCAAACTTGCTACTTATTGTCGTACTCCATTCAGACTGAGAGAATGAAAGTTATCTCTTCATCTTCCTGTATCACACCATTTCTTGAAATCGTCATTGTGAAATGATGATCGTAAACATGGCTCATACTTATCTTAACACCGGTAACATTTTCTGCATAGAACAGTATGAATTTTTTTGCAGATCAGAATTCAACAACATGAAACGAAAAACTTAGAGTTGCTCGAAGCTCACACTAAACCTATATTTGGGAGAAAAATCTTTTTCAGGATGGCCCAATGCTATTTTTCTGAAAGTATCATCTACGGAATCCTATGAGGGACAGTCGATCCTAGAGACACTACGTCAAAGCAAAGCCGATAATGAATTTTACGCAAAATATCTTTATGTAGAAAAAGAAAGATAGATGAGAAGGATTTTAATCCATTGTTGAAATACAGAACAACTCTGAATAATGGGAGTAATAGATAGTTTAGAATAACAGAATAGTTTTAACTACAACTATTGTCTGACAGAGATATTGAGAGATTGCCAAACACTTGAATAATCTCTATTGAACTTACGAGTGATCGTTTTTAATAGTGCTCTAAACTCTTGTTTATTATCATTAAAAAAAATGCTCATTTTCTTAGCCCTTCGTAACTGTCCTGAGATTCGTGCGAAGCCACCTATAAAAAAACGATTAAAAGTTACTACTAGTGTTTGTTTTCAACCGTTTCGTACAAAGTATATTTCCTCTTCAACTACTCTTTGCGTAAAAACTATGATGCCAGTCTCCACAATGGTAATAAAAAATCTTATGGCATCAAAAGATTGTATGAGAGTGATTTCATAACGAGATTACATATTTTTACTACACATATGTATAACCCAATACAACTCTCTTATCACATATCAATAGTATATGCCATAACATTTTCGCTGTAAATAACCATGATACAAACGAATTACGTAAAATTATTTTCGAAAAAAGATATAGAGACAAAAGAGATCAACTTTAGGAGAATGAAAAATCATTTTAAACCACCGCAGCTGTCTCGGGATCCACGAGGACCCATATCTTTATTTTTTTATTTTTAAAGCTATTTATGACATAAGGTAAGGATATTATGTACCAACATTAGACTAGAGATCAGAAAAGGACAATGGTCGAAAACAGCAAGTATTAATGAAGTAATACACAAAAAACTGCAAAGTGGATTCTCTCGGACCCCGGACAGCTGTGAAGGTTTAAAACAAGATCGAGGTTCATTTGGTATTATAGCTATATGTGTTCTAGTACACACATGAAATAAGATAGTTGAATTTTACAAAATAAAACATGGTTGATTTTCGAACTCGAATGACTAAAAAGAATCCTACTTGGTACCTTTTTTGCCTAGTATTGTTCCTAAAACAGAGCCAAGAATAATTGCTACCAAGGCAATAACTGTCAATAGGAACATTGGAAGAAGGAATCTTTTCTTTTGATACCATTTTCGCCTTCAAATTGATAGAAAATTCTCGTTAAAAATATAAATCGATGGAAAAAAAAACTGATACGTACGTATTTTTAGGATAAAGATATGCACCTGTATATAGAAACACTTTAATTTAAAATGAAATATTGAAAATTTTCAAGCTACCTTCAAAAGGAGGCTCCAAAAGTACTTCATTGGGAACGATCTGTCTTATATGAATAATGTGAAGATCGGTTGCTGGAATCATTTGTGATTGAACTTCCATGCGTGTACCAGGTAGAAGAAGAATTTCATCTTCCTTAGCGAAATGTGAATGAGCTTGTATTGATCGACCATTGATAGCTTCGATGGAGAAGAGCGTTCGCGGGCCCGTTGTACCCAAGTATAAATTATTCTCGAGTACAGTCATTGTAGTTGTGCAAGATGAAAACGTCCACCATGTAACCAGTTCTCCAGGTGGAAAATTAGCACTATAATCTTTGGTGACTCCTCGCCAGATAGTCATTCGTGAAACGCATGGCAGTTTAACTACAGCAGTTAAAAGTAGTTTGAGATACTTAAAATAGGGACGAAGTTCCTCGCGATTAGCGGCCTTAAGAGCACGATTCAGTTTGGAATAGAGACTTCGATGAAATCCTGGCCATTCAATTGTATAAAGACGAATCGATGCACTTTCATCGACTGTCAGACCATTTGCTGGTTCATCTGGAGTGTCATCCAGAGCCAATTGAACGTAAGTTAATATATCGTCGATAATGTCGATCAGCGGAGCACATGCCTCGGCTAATGGTAATAACGGTTCCTGAGCGTATTCCACAATAGGTTCAAGACTAATATCGTCATTATTAACGATTTTCTGTGTCGTCTGAGGATTTTCTTCGGCAGCAGCAGTGTCTACAACTCGATAATTTTTGCTCATCGAGTTAACTATGCTATCATCAAGATGTTTCTTTCCAGGAATATTTTCTTCTTCATTCAAGTTCCATGGAAGCTCATGTAACGGCAATTGTGAACTATTATTACTCATTATTTGCCGTTGATTATTCGCCTCTTCATCATTCTAAACGTCAACATATACATTATTATCAATGATTTCGTTTTTATATAAGCTCTCAGGATATTCTGTTCTGTCGATAAACATCAATACTTAAAAGTTAGTTATTAAGAAAATCTGGCAATTTGTACATTATGATATGTTCTCCTGATGGTGATTTATTTCTATTGTAGATATTTACAATGCAAGATGAAATCTTGTTCAAAAACGAAATTTTCTGTTGTTGGATTTTTGAAACACCTAACTTATTTATTATGTATATACAAAAATGTATTTCAGTTAAGAACGAATTCAACTTAGAATAGGCTAGACCTTGTGAGCTAATGGTTTTTCTTCCATCGGACTTGAGTTACGTTGCGTACATGACACTATGTCATCTTATATATAGCCATTATACTTCACTATTTCTATTCTATTGTTATATGACCCTAAAACTAACAAAAATAAAATCGTTTCAAAAGATGTATTATGATCTTTTAATTGACTATAAAATTTTTCATCTCATATTCCATTTTTTTCTCGAAATTTATTACATAACATAATGAATTTAAATTAAGCTTGGAAATGGTTGCATTTTTTTCAATCGAACTAGACTGATCAGTTCTATTTCAGAATTCATTGACAAAAAAATCATTACGTTTAAAAATATCCATCTAACTTAGTAGTTCTTCTTAAGAAAAAAAGTTCATTAACACAGTTACGCAAAGACTCACAATGTGGAACTCAAAACAAAAAAGGAATTTTTTTTTCTGCTAATTATGTAATGAATACATAGATTGTAGCCACTAGCTATCGAGAATTTCTGACAGCCGGTTCAAATTAGCTGTAATTTTGATGACAACTAGAAGTTTATTAATTGACATCTTTTGAGCTTATATTTCTGAACTATGAAAACTGATAAGAACAAGCATAATAGATTAGCTTCAGTGCTTTCAAAATTGTTTAACAAATCTTCACAAATCTGACTGTTAGTAATTCTCGATACTTCTGAAATACAGAGGTACGCTATTTTCCCTTTACTTTCTTCTAACAAAGTGTAGTCAAGCTCTGAGTGTGGGCTACTTTAAATTAAATCGGAAATATATTTAAAAAATTAACCGAGACTATGATGATCGATCTATATCATCTATTAGAATTTCAGTCGTGTCAAAATCGATAGCAACATATATGAAGCTTGTAATAATAAAGATCTGACCTTTTCAAAATTATGATGAACAACGAATTCATATCATACATACCTGAGCATCATCTAGTTTATTTTGATGAATTGAATGATCGAATGCAATAGCACTGTCATCAACTTGTACCATATCTTCACGTTTATCGAAACTCACATTCAATGCACCTTTAACACATGATCGTCGCTTTCGGGATTTATCGACGTACATTTTAGCTGAATAATTGCATGAATAAACAACTGTTTTTTTTTTATGTCTAAACGTTGATACGTTGTATGTTATGCTTCATTGCTCGCACATGCAAGCAGTTATATGCAAAATACAATATGATTATATTTTGCTACGTCATAAATCGAAACACATGTTCTAACTCTTCAGTGTCATCCTATAGATATAATTGTTGTTATTAATCGATCACGTACCATTTATGAACTGTACATAAGATTTTATGAGTCCGTAGAAATGAATCAAAAGCTAAGATAAGGTACATATAAAAATGTATGTATCTTATCTTCGGTCGTTTGAACCAATCAGCTTGTGTTGCATGTTTAACTCTTTTTTGTCCAACGTTTAAGATTTAAAGTAGGTTACATTGAAAAAGCAATGAAATTTTTGAATGAGAAAGAAAAGTTAATTGTGAACAATGAATTGTTTAATGTAACCAAAAACAAAATAAGAAAGTATAAACCTGTCATTTCAGAATCGATTGATCTCTAATTTTAAACAATATATTAAAAAAAAGATTTTTTTTTTCAAAGTGTTATCCAGCAGCAGTTTGATTTGCATGTCAACATGGTTCAAATTTAGTTATAAACAAGGATTAACTTCTACTTTAATTGTCTAAAACATTAATGTCTGCATGTTCTTTTAAAACTATTTTCTCAGTTAAACCCCACGTTTATCATTTGGAAATTTGAGGATTGTTACATTTTCATTAAAAAAAAATCTATTTGTTTCGTACGAGTCTCGAAATTTTAGTATAAAAGATCAAATTATTTATTTTATAATCTTCTTCAACGTTTAATCATCATTAAAAAGAGCCTAAAAATATCATATTTTACTTGATTGATTTGGTTTAATTGTAATCGAAATGGATAATATCAATGGATCTCTTTAATATTTTATTAATAGCTTATTTTAAAACCTCTGACAATATATATATCAAATTCATAACACTTAGAGTTTGTGAGTTTTACATTTCGGTCACTTTTGGAGTCCAAGTTACAATGACAGATGAAAGAAATCATATATAATTTGCTTTTGGAGAATCTAAAATATCTATAAAAAGATTAAAATAAGTTGAAATTTCAAGTAGATCTTTTCAGATTTAGAGCTACACTTGGCACATTTGATTAGTCTAGATTTTTAAGAATTTCAAAAAGACAACAAAAAAAAAATAACAAAATAATAAACACAGTGATAGAAAAGTAAATAAACGAAGCAAACACTGTAAGATATTGCATAGAAGTAGTATACAAACTCTAAAGAGTAGAATACAACAAAGTAATCTTGTATTCACCTCTGATATCTACCTATCAAGAGTTGAGAAATAGAACATATGTTTTCTTCTTTTGCTTCATCCAGTTTTTTTTTTAAATTTACAAAGGGTAATTACCGTTTCAGTAACATATTTAGATAAAAATAAATTGTTTGATTCTTGGCACACAAAAGAAAATATTCCTAGATTAATAATTTTCACACAAAACCATGTCAGTAGATCATTCAAATCTCATAATAAATAAAAAAGCTAATCGCGATTGAATGTTTCAATAGATATTCTTTTTCTTTTCTTTTTGAAACATTATGAAAAACTAATTGTATATCCAAATGAAATAAATATTTTATAGTTTATGAATATGACAAAGTATTATTAGAAAAGTCATTTTAAATCATGATATACTGTTTGTTCGAGTTTTTATTTTTTTCAAAAACTGGTCGACGTTAGTATTTCACAATTGCCTTTTAATCATCAAATGAGCGATTCCAAATTCAATGGAGAAATCGAATTCACTGGAACCAATTTTGATCTCAAAATAATAAATGCTATTGAATCTAATTCAATTTCAAAAGAATTGAAAATTGTTCATCCCTAATGTCAACATATCTGTATCAAATATGTTATTATATCATTAATTTTACAAAGAGAAAATGTTACTCATCTTAAGCAGTATCTTTGATGATAGGTTTCTTTCATCTTTATTAAAAATATAGTATATATGTCATCAAATATCGATTAAATATTTCAATATTCATAGTAATTACTAGATCATTAGGAGAATTATTTTGTAACATTTTTTTTTAAATAATCTATTGAATCATGTATTATTTTTTAACATATTTGTTGTTGTGTAATTTAGTTTAATTCTATTCAACACAAAACGCAGTTAAAACCAAGATATGAGCCATTATTTTATTTAAAGAATTTGCAAAAGCTAGTACATTTTAAAACCAATTAACATAACACAAAAACAAAGATGCTTTTAAATCATAGAGAAGAACAATCAGGTTGTCATTTAACATAAAGAATTAACATGAACACATGTATGTTGAGCATGATTGCAAAGCAGTAATGTGATTGATAATGATCGAAAGATCTTTCTATGTTACATCCAATATAATGTTCAACAAAACCCAGTGAAAAATAATCATGGAAAAAAACGGAAGTAAACGCACTCTTTGCTGTTCCACGTTTTTATGAGATGGTTTCTTCTCGGTTCAAAATCGTTCTTCATCTGAAGAGAAAGCTTTCTGAACCGTTCATGTTTGGAACAGTTAGGATCGAATTCCATCAAAATGAGAATGCTTTCTTTGACGTTCTCTCAAGAAATACTTGAGAATGGATTCTTCGAACTGATGAACGCGTTCCAGACAATACAACATCATTCTTATGGAGAAAAGAACGCGTTCTCTGTCGTTCTCTTAATTGTCGAATGCTTTCTCGTCAATTCAAAAATCAGTTTTAAAAATATAGAACACCTTCTCGTTCGTTTCGTAACCTACATAAAATTATCCCGTTATATTGAGAAAGAATATTGATTAGCTCCAAATGGATTCGTCAACGTTCTCAAATATATTAAATTTTTTTATCATTGTTTTCTGCATAAAAAATTATCATCATAACTCTTAGTTCTTTTATCAACATCTGTTTTCAACATTGAGCTTTCAGCTGTTGATATCGCGACAGTCTTAGTTACAATACACTGACAAAATCAATAAAAATAGACACAGGCAATGTGAAACAATAAGAAGAATTCTAGAAAAATTCAGAGTCGTTTGGCAAACGAGTATACAACAATTCTTCTCTTTGATGAATTTAACAAGCTTTTCTCACAATTTGTATTGTATTGCCCATTTAGTTTTATTTCATCTTAGTAGAGATAGAGTTAGTTTTCCTTTAATTTTTTTCCATCGTGAATAGAAATAGTCATGTTTTCCACCTAATAGACATAGAGTTAGTGTTCTTCTAATTTTATTCGACCTTAATAGTATTGATCATTCTTTCATCTAATACAGTTCGAGTTAGTTTTCCTTCATTTATATTATTCGACGAGATGTAAGAAAATAAACTAATTGCAAAGTATACTAATTCGTCAATCATTTTATTTAGTTTTATTCAAAAACAATAGTGAAGCTTTCCACCTATACACAAGGTTATTATCAACACAAAATGATAGAAAGTGAAAAATATGTACAAAATTGTTCTTTTGTTTTCTTTTATTCTGTTCTGACTATTGATAAACATTGCAATGGAAGGGGGAGATAATATTTCGATCGCATTGCAATGTTTATCAATAGTCAGAACAAAAGAAAAGAAAACAAAAGAAAAGAACAATTTTGTACATATTTTTCACTTTCTATCATTTTATGTTGATAATGACCTTGTGCATAGGTGGAAAGCTTCACTATTGTTTTTGAATAAAACTAAATAAAATGATTGACGAATTTGTATACTTTGCCATTAGTTTTCTTTTGCTTTTATTCCATTGTAATAAAAGTAGTCATTTATTTTATCTAGTAGAGATAGAGTTAATTTACCTATAGTTTTATTCGATCTTAATACAAATAGTCTTTTTTTTTTCATTCAATAGAGATAAAGTTAGTCTTTCTTTAGTTTTATTTGATCTTAATCAGAAAAATCATTTTTTATATGGTAAAGATTG